ATAAATAAATAAATAAATAAATATTAAAGTATTATATATTCAAGTTTATAAATTATTTATTTATTTTAATTCAAATATTTAACGAATAAACGTATTCCACTTTATTTACTCTTCATAGAAATATATTTTATTTTATCATACACAAAAGAAATTCGAAATAGATTAAGAGGACTACAGCATAGTGAAGTTTCTATACACTGTTTAACATAAAAGAAGAACATAAATGTCTCATATTGCTGAGAACGATCTATATGTTTGCAAAAACCATCCAACTAATTATTGTTCATTGCATTTTAATTATCAACGATTACTTGAAATACATACTTCAATCTAAATATGAAAAAAAAACAAGTAGATTTTAGAAGAAATCATTATTGAATATAATTTTATCAATTACACAACGAAGTCCTTTTTCCATTGGATCAATCATAAATATTCCTTTTGGATTAAGAGTCCGATCATTCTCTTCTGATATGTATCTTGCAGCACGTTTAGCACACTAAAATATTTTGTTTTTTGTTTTTAAAAAAAAAGTATGAAATAAAAAATTAAAGTTAAACCTTTTCATAATGTGTTGGCATACAAAGTAATAATAAATAGCCTGTTAAACAAGCACAACAATTTTCCATAAATGTTTTACATGATAATGCTTCAGCTTCGGCATAAATAGAATTTATATGACGTATAATATCAATAAATTTTGAACGATCAATCTAAATCAAATTGAACCGAATAGAAAAAATAAAATAATTAGAAAAAAAAATTTTACTTTTCCTTCAAGTTCAGGAGGAAAACGTTCTTGAAATTTAACAGCTGTACCTTCAGAATAATCTCGTTGAATAAATAATTTTATTGAATGTTCACTTGTTAAACGTGTTGTATCTTCCATCTCACAAAAGATGATTAAGAATGAATGAATACAAACATACTAATGTTTGTTTGATATAATTATTGGTCAAGAAAATATATGAACAAAATAATCCTAGATGACGCTACTAAACAGTATATTTATATATATAAGATTGAATCAAATTTGAACGTTTGGCATATAAAAGTCTATTAGATTTTGTATAACTTTCAGAATATGATATTGAAATAAATCATTTTAAATATAACAGAGAATAGAGAGAATAAGACTAGTTTTGGATCTAGATTTTTATCGGTTAGTAAGACAAATTGATATAACATGTAGAGTTTACTCTTTCTAATAGAGAACAAAGATTTAGATGGGTTGGACTAACATTTGTTTTGAATAGGAAACCATGGCTCGGAGTGGACTGATTCAATATTGCCATAGACACCAGTGGATCGAATCTTAAATAAAATATAAAATTTTCAAAAAGTGTTGCGTATTTTGCACTAAATTTGTTTTCAAAAACCTCATGTAATTCTTCCATTGACTAAAACATTTCTGCAATGGACAGCAAATATATCGGGGCAAAATAAAACAAAAAGATAAAATTGTCATCATCTTAAAAAAATTTCTTTATATTCAACAAATTGTCCTTGTTTAGATCTACTCGTTCGTCAACAATTACAACATCATCATCATCATCATCATCATCAATTACTTTTTCTAATTCTAATTCCATTCCTACTGAGCCTTTTCAGTCATCAATTTTAGTTAACACTTTTCTTTCAACTACCGATGTTAGTTCATCATCGCATACAAAACACCCTTCTATAAATGAAATAAACATGTTGAATCTTTTATCGTCAATTAAATACTAATGGAAAAAGTTTTTTATTTGTAAATATTTTCTTGTTGCGTTTAGGAGACTTTCTCCTTCTTCTGAAGAAAATCAAACAAGAGCTATGCACATTCAAATGAAATATTAATTTAGGAAAACAGTTTTTGACAATGATTGTCCTCCTGTCAATGAAGTGTTTTCATCTATCGATTTTACTGTTTGATTATAGATCTACAAAATTATTGTTTCTTTTGTAGTCCTAATCCAAGTTACGAAACAATCTTACAAATTCTTATTTACATATTTGTATGTCACATCATCAATACGAGTGTTGCCATATATTCCATTTGAATTTTGTATTCTAAATTTTAATAAACAAATTCTAATTTATTTTTTTTGTTTTATTGATCATTATCAAATGTTAATCTTAACAAAAAACAATCATCAAAAACTTCACCTTGTGTATCTGTTCCTCCATGAATAAACATATAAGGTATAATTTTTTTTGAATCTTGTTCATTATCTATAAATTCTACAAGACAATATGCAAAATCAAGTCTAGGTCTTGGTAAAGATCGACAAAGAATTTCTGTCCATTGTTCATTATTTGCTGACCATGACCATGTATCATTTAATGCTTGACCATTACGTGATAAACCACCAAATATAAATAATGTTGACGTATTTTCAATAGAAACTCCACCATGTGCTGCTCGAGCCATTGGTTGAGATGATGATGATGTATGTTCTTTCCAACTTGGTGGTTTTTCATTAATATCAATTGAATAAAGTGATGAAAAAAATGTTCGTCCATCCATACCACCATGTAGATAAAGACGACAATTACCAAGTGATAATAAACAATGACCATGTCGTTGTTCAGGTGGACAACCATGTGCTGGCACACATGACCATGTACGAGAAACTAGAAAAATCATTCATATGTTTTGTTTTTTGTTTTAAATAAATAATTATATTGATAAAAAAGAAAAAAAAATACCTAAATCAAATCGATATAATTCGGCATCATCAACTGCTTTAGCACCTTGAAAACCACCACTAAATATATATAAACCATTTTGAATACAACAACTTGAATGATGAGTTCGAGGTGATACTAATTTATTATCTTTTGGTGTCCAATTTTCGATTGTTTTTGTTGAAATATTAAATACATGAATATCATTAAAATTATTTTCTGTATTAGCACCACCAAAAATTATAATTTGTTCATTATTTTCCGATGATAAAACAGCTGAATGTTCATAACGTCGAAGTGCTGAATCTTCGCCAATTAATTTTGTCCATATAAATGATTCAGATGTTTTTGATGGTAATGAAAGTGAATGAACATCTGCAAAACATTCCGATGGATTAGCACCACCAATTATATAAATATTTGATAATGAACGAGTAAATGTACTTGAATGACCAACGCGAAGTTGAGGTGAACGAGAATTACTATGAATTTCAAACCATTCAAATGGAATAAGAGATGTTAATGATGACATTGTTTATGAAAAGAGATAATTCAATTCAATTCAGTGTTTTTTCTTGCTTGTTGCTAAGACGTTTTTGTATGGTTCTTTCTGTTGAACGAATGAATCGGAAATGAAATGGTTATAACGAGAATCTAGTGACATCTCACATATATTGTTTCATTGTTAGACTAAATATTTAAAAATTTTTATCGATATTTAGGTTGATGATAATGCCTTCTTTCTATTGATTTCTAGGAGATCATTATATTTTCCGAAATACTTTAATTGGTTTTTTTCCAATGTCCTGTCGTTTTCGGTTCCAAAAGATTCTCAATTTTTCAGTAGATTTTTAATGTAAGTTTTAATATATCAGTTGTTGTTAATATATGAACAGAAATATAAAATTGGAAGTTTCCTGCTTTGAAAACGTATTGTAGTTATGACGAATCAATGTTCTATAATTCTTCAGGTTGTAAATAAAATTCTACTATACATATCAATGAGTGTGACAGTTCTTGATTATTTTCAGAAACAAGAGAATGAACATTTGTTGGTAGACATATTGCACCAGTCTCATCGTATGGAAGAGCTATGATTTCGTGTTAAAGAGATCTCATTGAAATAACGATTTTTTAAAATCTAAATGGAAACAATTGTAGATTTCAAATTGATGAACTTGCATATCGGTATGTCAACTTTAGCAATTGTTTTGAAATTCGCTCAGCTAGGATTAAATACAAAATTCATTTGTCCTAAAATGAACAACCCAGGTCGACCAATCTGATAGTAGGATCCGATAGGTTCCGTCTCGGATCCTATCGGCATCCCATCGGATTCCTACGAAATTCGGCCGGATCCTATCGGATTTTTCCGGAAAACCGGTTACGGAAATGTGACGGAATCCCTGGTATCGGCAATCCTATCGGATCCTACTGTCGATATCCGATTGGAAGCTATCGGAAAGGAACCGATCGGAAACCACTTTCGGCAGCCAACATTAACCTTAGTAACGCAATCCGATCGGTTCCCACTTTTGATAACCCATCAAATACCATATTCAAGACCATCAAAACATCTGAACACACAATAAATAATGCACAAAAATTCAAAATAACAATCTACAAAACACAAAATCATAAGGAAGCCATTCCGAAACCTGAATCAAACATCATTTTCTCCTAAGCTATCCTCCTAAAATCAT